CATGGAACACAGTAAAACTCATACACACATGGCACATGACTCACTCCGGATTGGGTTATCAAGCCATTGCCATGTGTCACTCCGGATTGGGTTATCAAGACATTTTCTTTTGAGTGTTCAAGTTAGATGCAAACGTACAATTTTAAGGCACTCTAACAGGATTTAACCAATGAAGCTCGGTGTTGGACTCTAGTGTCTATCGTGTTCAGGTACTCCTAACCTAAAACTAAGAAGATCAAAAACAAAAGTACCTATACCCGATTCAAGTTAAACCCTTGGAAAAGAACCGTGGTCCAAAGAAAAACCAAGGGGGAGTTACTACACTACCTAAAAAAAAAATCTTTTTGGTCTTTTCTCTAGACTATTCCCTCAAGAAAATTGTCTAACGGATCCGTCATTAGGAAGAGTCTCTATATTCCACTTTTTTTTCCGACTTAGTCCCTCAATAACCCCGTTGAAAGAGATCTGTCGTCGGGACAAGTCATTTACTATTTAAGTTTTCCTAATGAACTATTACTCTACACCAAAACAATCAAAGCAAGACAAAACAAGCAAAATCAAACAATCAATTATTACAATTACAAACATACAATGAAGTATCCCTACCCCACACTTAAAATGAAGACATGTCCCCATGGCTCAAAATTTAAAGAACAGTGAGGTTAAGGAACTTCTCTGAAGGCTCACTCCTGATTGGAGACAGTGTCTGGGTTCACGTTGCATGCCTGTCCCAGCGCTCTCAACTAGCCCAAGAATTTCTTCTCCGATTTCACTGGCCTCTCGGCCACCACATCAATATAGACACCCAAATTAGTGACTGAGGTACGCAACCCAGCCATATCCTGCTCCAAAGCTGTCATACGGGTGCTCCGGCATGGCTGTGATGGGCCTGCCATATCAACTCTCGGAGGAGGGGGAACCTCAGCTACCTCAGCATCATCATCATCAGCCAAATCATTATCAGAGTCATCAACATTCACCACCAGCTCTCGTCCAATTCCAATTTTTCTCGCCCGGAATGGGGCTTTTAGTGGCAATCTCCCATCAACCCGCGAGTTTTCAGGGACTCGAGCAATACGGAACAACCGGGTGATCAGCGAAGGGAAGTAGTAGCCCTTGGTTAGCTCAGGTGATCGAATGAACATCTTGTCATGAATGAGCCGGGCCACATCAAAATCTGTATGGGACATAAAACAGTGGATTGCGGACGCCTGTGGTAGATTAACATCTGTCGTGTTGCTGGATGGCAACAATCGACTGTTGACAACGGTGAGCCAACACTTGGCCTCCCAATTTAGACAGTGGGATTTGAGAGTAATCCTGTGCTTGATCCATAGGTGTTCTCCGTCCGGCACACAGATAGTATCAAGAAGAGTGTCCCACAAGGCCCGTGTTCCGCTAAAAGTACGATAAGGATCAAAGTCACCCCAAAATACATGCAACCTGTATACCCTGCAGATGGCGTCAAAGGATGCATTTAGCGGGGTATTGCGCACCATCACAACCCCATTATCGTGTTCTGGCAGGTTTGCATAGAACTCCCTTACTAACTGAACCTTAGCCTCCTCCAGTACCTCAAAGAAGATGTCCAGCTGACACCGGTGCATCTCATTCAACATATTGGGGCATTCCACCTCCAAAGCCATTCGATCAATGTGTACGTCTGGTTGTAGCTTCTTGGCTGCTTTCTGGTTGTACCTATTCTCCGCTGCGCTGGAGACAAACCGAGTGCTATCAAACTGAGGTGCACTGGCTTGGCTCCTAGATCGTGAGGAGCTTCCTGGTCCACTGATGGAGGGTCCGGTGTTTCGTCTCTTCCTGGAGGAGCTCATTGTACCTGTCATACAACGAAACGCCTATTAGTGAGTGCGCGAAATATGTGACTATGGATGGTTTCTCAGACTTCACCATACCCATGTCACAATAGCTCCTTATATCCCTATTAGGGCAATTTCCCAAATACCTTGTGAGCAAGGCACTACCCAGCCACATCTAACCCTCATGGGTACATCCAAATTCTTCCCCAATCAAGTATACTACCACACCACACACCCCACACTTACGTCATTCAATCACCCACCAATAACACCGTTCAAACATGCAATTCACAACCCCTTCACCAAGCAAACTTAAAACGAAATAGAAAAGCAAAAACAAGAAGAAAAGGAGTATACCAACAATTACATCTCAACACAACTTAAAATTACATAAACTACAGTACAATACAACACAGTGCCAAAGAAAAGAGAGAGAAGAGTTAAGACCTTACCTTAAAAGGGGAAGAAGGAGAGGAATTGGAGATGAGGGTGGTGTGAGTGAAGGAGAAGAAGAAGAAGAAGAAGAAGAGAGGAATTGGGGAGGTTATGGTTTAGAGGGAGAGAAATAGGGAATATGGGGGAGGGGTCGTGTTTTGGGTATAAGAAGGGGGGTTTTGGGTTGTAAAATTAAAAGAGGAAGAAAAGAATGAAGAAAAAGGGAAAAAAATAAATTAAAATTACCTGGACCGACCGCGGCCGCGGTGGGTTTTAAAATCTGAGGCAGAAAGTTTACGCCTCATCGCGGTTTACCGCGGTCACGATGGGAAGAAAAATTAGAGGCAAAATGTTTGCCTTCCACCGCGGTCGCGGTGCTGTTTTTTTTGTAAGTTACAGGAACATCTAATCAACACACTCGTGGGTCGCCTCCCACGCAGCGCCTAATTTAACGTTGCGGCATGATGCAAACATTTGATCATCACTCCTCATCCGCGTACTGGGGCTCTCCCAAAGTGATTACCACTCTATCCCCTTTTTCATCAGACATGCCAATGTAATGTTTCAACCTTTGCCCATTTACTGTGAACTTGTTTGTCGCGTCTTCTGATTCAATCTTTACAGCTCCACTCAAGAACAATTGCACCACTCTGAAGGGTCCTGACCATCGGGACTTTAACTTACTTGGGAACAATCTTAATCTCGAGTTGTATAACAATACTAGATCTCCGAGTTAGAAGTTTCGATCCAAGATGTGCTTATCATGCATTAATTTCATCCTTTCTTTGTATAATCTAGCACTCTCAAAGGCCTGGAACCTGAATTCCTCGAGCTCATGTAATCCCGTGACTCTGTTAGTGCCTGTTGTCTCCATGTCTAAGTTCAACTGCCTCAATGCCCAAAGTTCTTTATGCTCTAGCTCAACTGGGAGGTGGCATACCTTACCAAACACCAACCTGTACGGTGACATCCCAATTGGGGTTTTGAAGGCTGTGCGGTATGCCCACAATGCATCATCCAATTTCTTTGCCCAGTCAGTCCTTGTTGCATTCACTATTTTTGTGAGGACACTTTTAATCTCCCTATTGGACACTTTAACTTGCCCGCTCGATTGTGGGTGGTACGAGGTGGTCACTTTATGACGAACTCCATATTTTTCCAACAGCCGTGCAAATGCTCTATTGCAGAAATGGGTTCCACCATCACTGAGTATAGCTCTTGGGGTACCAAAACGCGTGAAAATGTTCTTCTTTAGAAAGCCTAGTACTCCCTTAGCATCATTGGTCGGAAGAGCCACTGCTTCGACCCACTTGGAGACATAGTCAACTGCTACCAATATGTACTTGTTACCATACGAGCTGACGAATGGCCCCATGAAGTCAATCCCCCACATGTCGAAAATCTCCACCTCTTGAATTGTGGTCATTGGCATCTCGTGTCTACGAGATATGTGGCCAGTTCTTTGGCATTCATCGCAGCTTTTAACCCAAGCATGGGCATCCTTGAACAGAGTAGGCCAGTATAAGCCTGACTCCAACACCTTAGCTACTGTCCGAATCTCTCCAAAGTGTCCACCATATGGTGAAGCATGGCAAGCCTGCAATACACAATGTTGATCTTTCTCGGGGATACACATCCGGATCATGTTATCTACACATATTTTAAACAATAGAGGTTCATCCCAATAATAATGTCGACAATCACGAAAGAACTTTTTCTTTTGAATTGAGGAGAGTTCATAAGGTACAATACCACTTGCTAAATAATTAGAAATATCAGCATACCAAGGTGCCTCCTCCATTATCATTGCCAGTAATTGATCATCCGGGAATGTCTCTGTTATATCCTCAACCTCTACCTTCTTTTCAGCTCCTTCCAACCTTGAGAGGTGGTCAGCTACTTGGTTCTCTGTCCCTTTCCGGTCACGTATTTCCAGATCAAATTCTTGTAACATAAGAACCCAGCGAATCAAGCGTGGCTTTGACTCCTACTTTTCTATCAGGTATCTAATTGCTGCATGGTCAGTGTAAACAATAACTTTCGAGCCAATCAAATATGACCTGAATTTATCGAATGCAATAACAACAACCAACATCTCCTTTTCCATCACAGTGTAATTGAGTTGTGCACCGCTCAACATTCTGCTTGCATAATAAATCGGGTGCATCAGTTTACCATGTCGCTGCCCCAAGACTGCTCCTATGGCGTAGTCACTGGCATCGCACATGAGCTCAAATGGTTGATCCCATTTGGGTGCAATAATGATGGGTGCATCACCAATCTTTTCTTCAGTTCCTCAAATTCCAACCTGCATTCATTAGAAAACACAAAGGGGTGATCCTTTTCAAGGAGTTTGCATAATGGGTTAGCAATTTTGGAGAAATCTTTGATGAATCGCCTGTAGAACCCGGCATGCCCAAGGAAACTTCTCACCCCCTTGACCGAAGTGGGCAGTCGTAGTTTTTCAATCATGTCAACCTTGGCATGGTCGACCTCAATTCCCTTACTGGACACTCGATGTCCCAGGACTATCCCTTCCTGTACCATAAAATGGCACTTTTCCCAGTTCAACACTAAATTTGTCTCCACACATCTTTTAAGCACTCTTCTTAAGCTGTGAAGACAGTCCTCGAATGAATCCCCCACCACAGAAAAATAATCCATAAAGACCTCCATAATATCCTCCACCATGTCTGTGAAAATGGCTAACATGCACCATTGAAATGTCGTCGGTGCATTGCAAAGCCTAAAATGCATTCTCCGAAAGGCGAAGATGCCATATAGACAAGTGAATGATGTTTTCTCTCTATCTTCAGGGGCTATTGATATCTGATTGTACCTCGAATAACCATCCAAGAAACAGAAGTGCGAGCGCCCGGCCAGCCTGTCCAACATTTGGTCAATGAAAGGCAAGGGGAAGTAGTCTTTCCGGGTGGCTGTGTTCAATTTTCGGTAATCCATGCAAATTCGCCATCCCGTGACTGTACGAGTTGAAATCAACTCATTGTTCTTATTTTACACAACAGTCATTCCCCCTTTTTTCGGCACACATTGGATAGGACTGACCCAATTGCTATCAGAGATGGGGAAGATGATTCCCTCATCTAACCATTTGATCACTTCCTTCTTTATAACCTCCTTCATATTCGGGTTCAACCTTCGTTGATGTTCTCTGGAAGGTTTGTGCCCTTATTCCAAGAGAATCTTGTGCATACAGAAGGCTGGGCTGATACCCTTTATGTCTGCCATGGTCCAGCCAATGGCAGTCTTGCTTTCCTGTAGTACCTGTAAGAGCTGTTCTACCTGCACATCTAACAAACCGGATGATATAATAATAGACAACGTAGAATCGGGGCCTAAGAAAACGTACCTGAGGTGAACTGGGAGTGGCTTCGGCTCCAACTTGGGTGGTTCCTCTACCGATGGTTTTGCTGGAGATGTAGCCCTTTTTTCTAACTCAAGGGACTCGAACTGAGGTTCCCTTTTCCAGAATCCTTGGCCTTCAAGTACCATGACCCACTCAGCCAACCCTTCACCATCCATTTCTTTTAAATTTATCAGACATGCCTCAAATGGATCTTTAGCAGTCAGGGCCACATCATCTTCTTGCAGGATCACATCCACTGCCTCCATTAGAGAGCAATTCGCATATTCACCGGGTCTCCTCATAGATTGCTGAACATTGAATATGACTTCTTCATCATTCAATCTCATTTTTAATTCCCCAGTCTCACAATCGATCAAGGCTCTCCCAGTGGCCAAAAATGGCCTACCTAAAATGAAAGGTATCTCCTCATCTACATGACAATACAAAATAACAAAGTCTACAGGGAACACGAATTTCCCCACTTGCACCAATACATCATCAAAAATCCCCGTAGGTCTTTTTGCCGTGCGGTCAGCCAGCTGCAGCAACATCGAAGTCGGTCTAGCTCTGCCAATGCCCAGTTTGGTGTATACAGCCAGAGGCATCAAATTTATGCTGGCTCCCAAATCACATAATTCCTTTGCAAAGGCGTAACTCCCAATCGTGCACGGAATAGTGAAGCTACCTGGGTTGGACATCTTTTGAGCCATTGGTCTGGTCACTACCGCGTTGTAGGTTTGCGTCAGAGTTACTATGGATACATCTTGAAAATCAAACTTCCGTGACATTAGGTTTTTCATCATCTTTGCATAACCTGGCATCTCCCTCAAGGCATCCATCAAAGGAATATTCAACTGAATTTGACGCAACATCTCCATAAATTTCTTGTATTGATCTTCCTTCTTTTGTTTTACCAGTCTCTGAGGGAATGGTGCAGTTATCACCCTTTGTGCACTGCTTGCTAGCTTCTCTCTGTTGGAGTTCTGTGGCACAGGAGGCACCACCTGTTCTGTAGCTTGTTCATTTACCTTAGCCTTACCCTTTTCATCTTGACCCTGTTCAACTACCACTTCAGTCAGATTTGTTGGTTCATCTACCTCTAATGGAATTGGCGTGGCTGGCGTAGTCTCCTTGTTGGCTTATGCAACCTCCTTCTCTTTGTCTAAATCTCTCCCATTCTGAAGACTTATTGCCATTAGCTGATTCAGGTTTTGCTCCTTGGGGTTAATATTTGTATCCACTAGCAATGTTCCCTGGGGGCGATTGTTTAAAGCTATAGACAACTGCCCCAACTGAGTTTCGATGTTCTTTATAGCTAAATCATGTACTGCCAACTTTTCTTGCATCTTGCCGTTTATCCAAATGAGTTGCTGGAGCATCCCCCTGATCTCTACCATGTTGTTATCTTGCTGCTGAGGAGGTGGCTGATATGTCAACTGTTGCTGGTTTTGCTGTGGGTAGCCTTGTTGTCTCGGGTGGTATGGCACCATTTGGCCTTGAGCTTACATGCCCCCAAGCTGAGGCATGTTGGGTCTGTATTGCTGATTTGGTGCCGGTCTCCACTGTTATCCTCCTTGTCTCTGACCCCCAAAGTTGTTAACATAATTCATATCTTCCCTTGCCCCTTGATTTTCACCTTCTCCGCTCCATGAACACACATAGGACTGATTAACATAGGGTGTACATAGTCCTCCATTTGTCGTGTCAACAATATGCACCTGTTTGTTACCCATCTCATCTATCTTTTTTGTCAAAATACTCATCTGGGTTAGAAGTGTGGCCATGTTCTCTACCTGCGAATTATTTGGGTCAAGGGGCACTGAATGCACTATGGGTGCCAGTGTTGCACCTCTAGTCATCCATCCCGAATTCTGGGACATCTTGTCAAGAAGGACCATGCACTCGGTGAATATCTTACTCAAAAATGCACCTCCAGCTGAAGCATCCACATTGGCCTTTAGATTGTTAGCTAATCCCATGTAGAATCTCTGGCCAAGCATCTGGTCTAGAATGCCATGGTGAGGACACTTCACCAGCATCCCTTTAAATCTTTCCCAAGTTTCTTACAAGGTCCCAGTCGGCTGCTGCTTGTACTGCAATATTTCATCAATCTGCCTTGAAGTCTTGTTGGGTGGGTAGAACTTATTCAAAAACTACTTTACTAATTCCTCTCAGGTGACAATGGAATTGATTGGGAGCGAATTCAGCCAAGTCTGAGCTTCCCCAGTCACATAGAACGGGAACAGTAATAGCTTGATAACTTCTGGGGTCACATTTGGCTGCCTTTGAGTCACACAAATTGACAGAAATTTTTTCAAATGTTGCTGAGGGTCTTCAATGTGTGACCCGGAGAACAATCCCATATTTCGCAGCAGATGCAACATGTTGTTGTTGATTTGGAATGTCTCCGCTTGTATTACGGGTACAACTATGGTAGTTGCCAGGTTGTCAGCTGTGGGTTGAGCCCAATCATAAAGTGCAGCTTCTGGCACAAGAGGTGCCACCACTCTAACATTTGGGTCAGCTTGCTCATCCCTGATGTTTTCGTTGACGTTCTCTACGTCACCCATGTCAAAGTCAAGCTGATGTGGTTGTTATGATTGTTGGATCCTCCTATTGGCACGGTTTAATGCCCTGAATGTTTTCTCGGGGTCTGAAAGTCCTTCAAGCAGTTCTCCAGTCCTCGAAGAATTTCTAGGCATACACCTGAATTCCACAAGAGTTCAAACGTTAGAATTTCAATGAAATTTTTTTAACACCTTTGAAATTTGATTTGAACTAATAATTTTTAACACTACTTCTAAGTTGTAATAAGTAACACCTTTAGTTCCCCGGCAACGGTACCAAAATTTGATAACGCCCAACTATGCCTTTTAAAAGACAAAGAGGTTGCAAATATAATCCGGTTTTAAGTTCGGAATCGAATCCTCACGAAACTAACTTATCTATTACACTTTTCGGCAATGTTATTATCTACTCAATCAATTTCTAGATGCAAGATTTTTGATCAATAAAGACTGGGTTCTTTTGTTTAACTACTTCTCTACTATTAAAAATAACAATAAGCTAAAACAAAGCTAATTCAATGGTAAAAAGGTCTAGGGAAGTGATTTCCCCAATTGCTAGTTTAGGTCTTGACTCTTCCGCTATAATCTCGCCGTAATACTCTATGAGGATTAAGAGTTATGGGCTATCGTAATTATCTCTCGATCAACTACAATAATTTACTAGAGCATTCTCTCGAACTACTCTAGCTGACTATGGTTATGCAACTCTAAATTATCCCACCAAAGTTTTGTTATCTCTAAACCCACTTTTAAGTTCAAGTAATGAATCTCTTCAATTACCCAAAAGTGGTGTTGTTCAACAGCTATCTAACCTAATATTCTTTCTCAAGCAATATAAGGTAATTAGACACGATTAATCAAGGGCCCAGTCAATTAATCACCATACAAAACATAGTTGAACAATCATATCGTAAATCTGACTCAATTATAACAACTTGAGTCAAGACTTCAACCAACAATTGGTTCCATCAACCCTAGACAAGTGTTTAGCTACTCATAACAAAATAAGAGAGAACTACTAAATTATTCATAATATAAAATTGCAAGAATTAAAAGGAGATAGAAAAACTCTAATGGTTCGTTGATCTTCTCACACTTGTTCTTCCTCCAAAAGTAGTCTAAAATTAGCTTCCTCCCTCACTTGGGAGAGTTTCTAAAGCTTATAAGGGGTTTACAAAAGTTTTTCCGAAATTACACTTTGGTCCACAACTTCCAGCGGAGTGAATAGTACACCGCGGTCACAGCCAACGCCAGTCGACCGCGGTGAACGCTGAGCTTTCTGTCTCCCTTCATTAATCTGCCGCGTTTCGCCGTGGTGCAACCGCGGTCGCGGTGGCCTTCTTCCCTACACCATTTATGCTTCTTGGTGTTCGAGTACTTCTCGAGTGGGCATTTATCTTTACATTATCGCCTCCAAAATACTCCATGTTGCTTCCTCTCATATAATATTCCCTGCTAAACAAAAGAACACTACTTAGAGCATTTTGTTGGCAATTTATCTATAAAACATCAACAAAGTATGGTCATATTAAGGTGTAAATATCAACTATATAGCCTACTATCATTGAGCTATGTAAAAGAATTAGAATGAATAGTTAAATCCTATACAGCTATCTAAATTCTATTTGCTATGAAATAACAAACTAATTAAATTTTATTCTTTCCTATATTATTTAGACGTTTCATAATATTGGAATCCAATGTGGTACAACTGTCTTTCTAATGATCTTGAGGGCTCTTAGTTAATCCATCAAAAATTTGTTCAAGGGCTGAGATCGAACCACGTGTCAAAGTCAAATATGCAGATAAATCTCTTGACTTAGATAACTCCGAGGTGTTACCTTGTTTTGTCTAAAACCCTATAGAATTTGATTTCTTTCCTTATTCACCTAACCTCTGCATTTCATCATCTCTTGTACAAATCGGATCATGGGGTTTTTTTTCAACATCCTCCTTCAAGCTGAAGGGTAAAAATGTTACCCCCAACTTGGTGAGAAGAAATTTGTGTGAAGGTCTTGACAACGATTTGGTAAATAGATCTGCCAGTTGAGTCGATAAAAGGTACATATGATAGAGTAATTTGACCTAAAAGGAACTGTTGCCGGACGAAGTGGCAATCTAGTTCCACATTCTTCGTCCTCTCATGAAAAATGGGGTTCCTAGTGATATGAATCACTGCTATTGTGTCAGAGAGAATTGGTACTGGAAACGATGGTGAAACTGAGATATCGCTGAGAAGACGAGTAAGCCAATTCACTTCGGTAAATACCCGATGCATGGAGTGATACTCTGCCTCAGCAGAACATAAAGGCACAGATGCTTGTTTCTTCGATTTCCAGGAAATCGGTGAAACTCCAAGAGTGATATAGAAACCACTCAAAGATCTCCGAGTGTCAAGACCCAAAATCCAACTAGTCGTGATGGTACCTAATCTAACCCGCTAGGTAAGCCAATTAACAACTATCCAATTCCAATAAAATCTAATAAAATAATTAAGTAAAGAAAATATCTGAATCTTATACATTTCTCAAGGATTTGGTAGTATAAATCATGAGCTTCTAAGATTTTAAGTTTACAATGCTGGTGTGAAATAAACATACATCATCTGTTTGAAATATACATGAAGATATTAATAATTCTAAAGCTACCCAGAACAAGAGGCAGTTGTGACTGGAACGCAAGTACAACATCCAACCTCTGCACACAAGGTGCAGAAGTGTAGTATGAGTACAACTAACCCCATGTACTCAATAAATAGCAAACCTAACCTTAGGTTGAAAGTAATGACGAGCTGAGACAAAGGTTGGAGTCCAACACCAATAGCCAACAACAGTTCATAACAACATAATGAAAGTAATAAAAGAAGTAACTCAGAGACAAAATGCTCAGGTCATTCACATTTCCAAACAATAAGCTTGTTTTTCAAGTATATTAGTGAAAACCCAAATCTTTTACCGAAATCGTGAAAAATATGAGTAAGTTTGAAAACCGTGATTTTTCCCAAAAATTCTTTAAACAATAAATAAGATGTCTCATTTCCTAGATAGCAAGAGTAAAATACATTTCTATGCCTATATGTCAATATGCGTGATAAGTCATGAATGACGTGATACCATACAACATGAGAAAAATGCATCTCTATGCATGTATGCCAAGTGTGCATGTCAAATGTAATGTATCTCAGAGATGAATTCATGTTTTCACACTCTCAGAGTACTCAATCTCACCGTCTCACACTTTTCACTCATCATGCTCAATCACTCGACATGCTCAGTTACTCAGTACTGTATATGGCCAATCCAACCCAAGAAAGATCCATCCCGAATATATACATAGCAACTGATAGTCAGTCACTCAGTACTGTATAAGGTCAATCCAGCCCGGTAAGATTCATCCCAAAATATAAATGCTTCGGGCAAGATCTATGCCCAGAGGAGATCTATCCCTCAATATAAATCTACCGTGCTCACTGGGAGTGTGTAAAGACTCCGGAGGGGATCCTTCAGCCCAAGCGCTATAATTCGCATGGATAATTCACGTGCTACACAAACAACTCACATGCTATATTATCAATATCTGGATCTGCACGGACAACTCACGTGCTGCACGGAAAACTCACGTGCCATAGTATTAATATCCTCACAATCAGGCCCTCGGCCTCACTCAGTCATCAATCTCTTCAGTCTCTCGGCTCACAACACTCATGCTGAGCAGCCCAAATCAATGATACGAGATGTGACAATAAACAATAACAGAGACTAAGATATGATATAAAATGATAAATGCGATTGAGTACATAACTGAAATTAAGCAAATAACTCAACAACAAAGAATGACCAATGTAGGTCCCAATGATACCATCATTAGCCTAATCATGATCTCTAGCATCAATTACAGCTCATGTGCTCTAACACATAGAGTAC